AGGCGGCTAAAAGTTGTGTGCATAACAGGAAGTAGACAGGGAACTCAAGTATTAAAAGAAAAACACATTTAATAATTTAAGCCCAAACAAGGCAAGTCTTCAAATACATGAAAATGGGAACTGGGGCAAAGAACTTTAACTAAATATATACATGAAAGCAAATATCTATTAGCTTAAAAAATAAATTAGTTGAAAAGCCTCAAGTCTTAAGAAATCTATTTCAAATCTTTGCTCTCAACTAAAATTTTACTCTAAAGATTTCAAAGGCCGCTGGCTAAAATTTTCTACTAGCAAATGCAACATTTTTTTTTTGTTGGGCCAAACAAAAGCTTTAAAAACTAAACTAGATAACCAAAATGAAAATGAATATTAAATAAAACTACAACTATTGTATATAAAATAAATATGCCTAAAAGCCATTGCCGCAGTTTATATAGAATATAAAAAATAAAATAAAAATACAAAAATAAATAATGCTAAAAACAACTACCAACATTAATCATATCGCTAATTGTATTATGATTGTAAATAAGTCCAAGTATATAAAAAAATATACAATGCGTATTTAAGTATATATACTAACTACAAAGTACAGTTGCGCCAAACTAAACAAAAGCTAATCAATAAATGTGAGTTAATGTATACCCCAAAACAAAAACAGAAAAAACAAATCAAAAACTCAATAAACACTTGATATTTGTGCTAAAAATGGAATCAACTTTGGGCTGACAAAACGTGTGGAACACGTGAAGCTACTCTCCATATCAGCATTCCCAGTTAATGGCAATCACCGAGTGCTGATATGGGCATACGTTTTCTGTGAAGTACACATATATTTTTGACCGGGGGCCTCTTGGCAGCTTACCCAAAAACTGACCTGGAGTTGTGCACGGGAAACTCCCAGAGATCTGTAGAGGTCGCTCTAGGAAATGCCCCTTCATAAAATTACCGAGAGGAGCTCAGCCAAACTTTTCTTTCCTCTAGTATCTAGTAATTCATTTTATTCACAAAAATATTTAATCATTCACTAGAATATTGATCTGGACAATCATTAGTTTCCGCCAACTATATATAATTATATTTTAATGGTAATACAGGGTGTCCGAGTTAGTGACGTCAGGGCGGTTAGCCGTAACTAATTAAATGATAAGGCTGAAAACGGTAAACGCGTTCACACGACACGCGCAACACGTGATATAATCAACATGGTCACACCCGACCGACCGATCGGCCCCTCGATCAGCGTGAGTTGAAGCACTCAGAGGTACTTCCACTGATATGGAAAATGGGGAAAAGGCAAACATAGTTGAGAATTGTGCGATCCAATCAGCGCGCAGCATTAGATTTAAAAGCGCTCGGGTTGCTCAGAGAGTCAAGCAGTTGTGAAACATGTGGAGTCCAGCATTGATTGCTCAGAGCGGCCTGTTGCTGCTGCTGTTCACCGGCAGCCAGGCACGCCTCTTGCCCGTTGACAATGAGGAGCTCTGGGCGGCGGATATGATTGAGGTGCCAGTGGAGGTGCCAATGGAGGTGACCAACAGAGCGGGTAAGCTGAGATGCCGATACTCAATTCCTAACAGTCTGAATGCAATGGGAGTTGTCTATTCAACATAGCTGGCTGCTCCATCAAGATCCGTAGCACTGAGATGAAGAACCCACAGCCGTTGCTGATCAAGCCCGGCACCTCCGAATTCTATCCCTTCTCGGCATCTGGCTACGTGGATGTGGAGCATGACAGGACCATTGAGTTCCACTGCACCAGCAGCCTGGACTCTCCCCTCTCGGGCAAATCCGTGACGGCCAGGTGCGTGGGCGGCACAACCTTCAGGATCGGCGATAGAAATCACGATATATCGGCCATTAAGTGCACCTCCTGGCCCGCCTTTGTGGGCAGGAAGTCCGGCTCCAGCTGCAACGGCGGCACCACCCTCATCAACGTGGGCTTCGAGCTGAGCGGCTCGCGCTTTGCCAAGCAGTACGAGGTGTGCTTCAATGAGCACGAGGAGGTCACCCGCTACGTCTATCACACCCTGGACGCGGGCAGCAACTACTATGCCACCGGCGTGGATCGCATCAACTTTGCGCCCGGCGGCTTCTTCAATGGCAAGAATGTGGACAGGCTCTACACGCAGGCCGTGCAGAAGGAGACCATCGACAAGGCTCTGAACATGGATTCGGGCAAGTACTTTGACTCGCAGAAGAACGTGTTCCTGGCGCGCGGACACATGGGCGCCAAGGCCGACTTTGTCTATCCACCCGAGCAGCGGGCCACCTTCCTGTTCATCAATGCGGCGCCCCAGTGGCAGACCTTCAATGCGGGCAACTGGGCCAGAGTTGAGGACGGCGTGCGGGCCTATGCATCGAAGTACAAGAAGCACCTGGACTGCTGGACAGGTGTGTGGGGCGTCACCACGCTGCCCAACAGGGACGGCAGACAGACCGGCTTGTACCTGGCCTACGATCACAATGGCAACGGCTTGATACCCGTGCCCAAGATCTACTTCCGTGTGGTCATCGAGCCCAGCACCCGCAAGGGCATTGTCCTTGTGGGCGTCAACAATCCGCACTTGAGTCTGGACGAGATCAGACGGGACTACATTCTGTGCAACGATGTCAGCGACAGGATCAACTGGATCAGCTGGAAGCGCACCGACATCTCGGCCGGCTACTCCTACGCCTGCGAGGTGCCCGAGTTCCGCCAGAAGGTGACCCACTTGCCACAGTTCTCTGTGAGCGGCCTGCTGGTGTAGAGACTAAAGAGATTCAATAAAAATGCATGCGAATAGTAAAAATTTTATTCAAATTTTATTTTTGTAACTGAAGTTGAATATATAAATATAAAAATTAAAAAAAATAAATAAAATATATATATGTGCATTTATAATATATATATATTGGTATTTCCACATTACAAATATTTATTTTTATTATATATTTACATATTTTTCCTTAGAGATAATATATATATATTTGTTCTTTTAGTAAATATTAGGCAGATCAACATTTTCTCTTAACCCTTATATTAGAGATATTATACATATTTTGCTTAGAAGAATATTATAAATCTTTTCTTTTAGTTAATCCTATACAGGTTAATATCTTCATTCCAAATCCTTTTATTCTTGATTTTTTTAGAGCTTCTCGGTTT